TCTCTCCATTTTTAAATTTTTTTTTACATTTTGGTAAACTTTGAAGGTTAAATTCACTTAAAATAATATAAACAACCAAGTGTAGGATACATTTAGACTGGCTTTGTGAAACAGGTGTATCCTATTGGTGTTGATGAACAAGCCCAGGCAAGACCCGACTTTGTAGTCAGTAGGTGGGTTCAAAACACTTGCGTTTCTCTCGCTCGTTTTATTTTTTTTTACTTAGTAACTAAACCAAACATTGAAAATATATTGCAGTAAAAGTATGGAAATAAGTTTGTAAATGTAGTGAAGTAAAAGTTCTCAAAAAAATGTATACTCTTGGAAAGTATAAAGTACTCCAAAATATACTTAAGTACAGTAGTGAAGTATTTTTACTTCGTTACTATACAACACTGCAGAATAATTGATGTTAGATGGGAACCTATGTCTGAGAGTTAGCATTTAGCAATCCAGATGTTCTGTGAATGCTTTGGAGGTTTGTTTAAGAAGATTAAATAACAAATGGTACCAAGAAGACTGTTGGGCACAAGGAGAGCTTGAATTAGAAAAGCAGCCAAAGAAACCAAGGGTAACTTTGGAGGAGATGCAGAGATCCACAGCTCGGTGAAACCTTGGCCGATTCTGAATTCACTAGTACGCGAGTACGGACTCGTGTTCTGGCAAAGTATGTTCTTGAGAAGAACGCGGGGAAGTGTGGACTTGGGGAGAACGGGAGCATGCAGCATAAATCTGGGTCAATTGGAACAGAAGCGTACTGGTGACGTCACCACACGCTCGGCTCGTCTGGAGCTGCTTTTCACCTCCTGCTATCACGTTACAGCTGTCATTGGAGAATGCACAAGTCTGCTCTGAGGCATACTCCATAAAGGGGGAGGGGCGAGAACAATATCTGGGGACTTTATCTGTTCTCTGGCTTGTGTTCTTGAGAACTGGAACAGTACTACGGCTGAGGCCAATGACATTTCACGAGCACATGAGAACGATCAAGTACTCATATTGCTTGTCTTCATCTGCTTCTGGAGACTTGATTGTATGTTGACCTTTTCGTCAAGACGGAAATGGTTAAAATCCACCTGGAGCTGGAATGTTAGGATCACCAAAATGGGCTAGAAAGCCCATAGCAAGGTTGACGGTCATCGACACTGTCCATCCAGTCTGGCCTTGCTTGAACTATTTTCCTAAATGTACAGATGTTGTTCTTTGTAGTGCTAATGGAAAATAAAGCTTAAAAAAAGCAGGGTTTAATACTCTGTGTTTGAGTTTCTTTACGTCGGCCCTGGTAGCAAAACCTTCATCTCAACACATCAGATCTGATTGTACTTTATACTGTTAATGTATTCCCATGGCAGGTCTGCTTATCTGGTTCATTATGAGATAAAAACATTGTTGTCATGGTGATCCTGAGGTCAGTCCATAGTGGAAACCCTTTTTATTGTTTAATAAGCCTATTTAAAGAGAATTCGGTTTAGTTTAGCTAGAAAACTGCTACATGTATATTGTGAGGTGGACTGAACCAACTTGCATGAAAAGGTGGGACCAAGATTTTCTAATTCTTTATAATCAAGATAAAAGTGGAGGCAAATAAGGCAAGTGTCTATGTCTGGTTTACTGTAGATGGGTTTGTGTGGAGGGGGCATTTCAAACCTTAAATCATAAAATTCTTCAACCATATTTACCATGGTTTATTGCATTGACAGTCTAATACAAATGTTGAAGTTCACAGCTGTTGGGTTAGAAAATGAGAGAAGTTTGATGGGTCTAAACAAGCCTCTGTATTCAGCTCATGCCCACACTGACAGTGATTAGAAACGACAGCTCTAACAGTCCACCAGGTTGACTTTTTAACACACACACATATATATGCAGACATGCATGCTCTGCTCGGACCAAAAGCCGCTGCAGCTGCTGCAGGCAGCCTTTGCTCTCCTTTAATGGCATTACTTTGGATCAGAGATCAATGCAGCTTGTAGATGATGAATGCTATAGACCCTCGTTTCTTTGCATTGTTTCACATCCCAAAGGTTTATTTACCATCAGACATCTTTGTTTAGGAGGGAGGGCCTCGCCCTGCAGGGAGCTGACCTTTATCCTCAGTGAAAACTGTTCCTTAAGGGACACGGCTGCCATTTATCACAGGTCCAACAGCGATCCAGTCGTTACGAAACTGATCCGCCACACGGACGTGATCTCCTAAACATCTCGTTTACTTCATCTGAGCCTCTGGCATCGCGGTAGGCCCAAAGTCAAACAGTTAATTCAGCTTATTGGGAAATAACAGCTGGATTTATCCAAACACGACCCCTCGAAGTGATCCAGGATGTTGCCTTTGACCGCTGGAGCGCAGCGTGTCGTATTTATCAAGGAAGGATTTATGTTGATGAAAGTGGATTAGACTGCAATGGTGAGGCAATAGCAGATAATACACTCAATATGTTTGTGTGGGAAGTGTGGACGACATTGAGCAGAGTGCTTCAGCTCAGTTTGACCTCGTTTAAAAACATAATTACACAAACTGATTGAGGAACAACAGCTTGGAGAGTAAAACCTTTCTGCCACTTCATGCCTCATTCAGACAGAGTCCTGTGTAAAAGATCTGGAGTCATCCAATGTTATTTCAATCATACAGTTTACTTTTTTATTGTTTTTTAAGTAGCATGGATCAGGTTTCACTGTTTGTGAGGTTTTTAGCTAATCATGTCAGCACTTTTTGCAGCATAGGAGTAAAAACAATAATTAAAGTTTGGTTTCAGGTGAAGTTTATTGGTCTAAAAGGTGTGAAAATTTGGACAGTAGGAGGCAAAGGAACATTTTTGGTCTGTTTTTACAGACTGGATTGTTCAGAAGACCTCAAATTGGAATTTACACTGGATTAATGATCCTTAGATCTTAGAAATAAGTCAAGATTTCTTAAAGTAAGTGTATTTACCCTTGATTTTAATTGGTAAATGAGATAGTTTGCCAATGGAATGAGTACTTTTACTCCTGATATATATGCACTTGAAATGGGACAATGCAATTGTGTTTTCTTACTTTAAATCTAAATTGTCTTGTTCCATTGGCAAAATGTCTCTTTTATCTCCTCAATTCAAGAACAAATGCACTTATGTTAAGAAAAAATGACTTATCGAGATTTCAATTTTTTTCCAGTGTAAAGATTCAAGTCTTGGTTTGAGACCAAATGTTAGCCAGTTTTATGTGGTGTTCTGTTATTTAAGATTTTACAGCTGAAAAAACCAGACTTCAGTTTGAGCATCTTCAAAATGCCCAGAACAAAACCAGACAGAGCGTAATATTTTAAAGGTTGGACATTTTCACTGCAAAAAATGTAAATCTAAATTACACATTTTTTCTTAAAATAAGTGTTTTTTCTTGAATTGAGGAGTTAAGTGAGACCCTTTTCCAATGGAACAAGAAAATTTACATTTAAAGTAAGAGAAAATAATTGTATCGTCTTACTTCAACTGAGTATTATCTAATTATGTAATCTCAAGAATTTATAAAAAACGAATTCCATTGGCAAATCATTCCGTAAAAGTTTAAAAACAATCCACTGGACTTGGTTTCCAAGGTTTGAAGACGTTTCGCTTCACCTCCAGGAAGCTTTCTCAATTCAAATGTCTGGAGATTGAGGCTTTATATAGACAAAGCCTTGTATTGCTTGGAAACATGCAAATTGAAACTGACGAGCAGGTCATTTGGTTCCATTGTTAGCCTGTAATATCTGAAACCTGTCTATGATGTTTTTAAACTTTTACAGAATGACTATGACCTGGATGATTGAGAATCTTCATTAGCATATTGGCAAATATTCTTATTTACCAACTAAAATTAAGGGTCAATACTCTTCATTTAAGAATTTTTTTCTTATATCTAGATCATTTTTGCAGTGAATTTGTATGAATCCTAAAGGGAAAGAAACTATGATAGAAAATGGTGGATTCCTTTACAGCCAGGCATACCCTTTACTATTTTTTGCCCTTTTTGGGCCGATTCTCCAGTCCTGCACAAATTTTTAGATCGTGCTATCTTTCAGCCGCATCGTGCTTCCAGCATTGTGTAATATACGAGGGGCCATTAGGCTCCCACTACCACCTCACGATCAGGAATCATGAGGTCGGGTGAAAATCAAACATGTCTGAAATTCAGTCGGCCATCGTAAGGTCGCATCAGAGTGTCGGGCCGCACAGTGTGAGAGCAAATATCGTTAGCTGGGAACTTTTAAACCCTGCGGTTTCATCGTACAGTTTCAGCTGCGGCTGTGTGCAACGATTGAAAATATTGAACAGTGTATACCCTGCTTAAGAACTTTCTAGCCATCTCACACATCCTTTCCTTGTTTTTTTTTCTCCTCCAACATCAGGCAGCCCAGGAAGAACCCCAGCACCGTCTCTCAGGATTCCTGGGACAAGGCGTACCCACCAGGAGACGTCTTCCAAACCGCCAAGGACAACCCCAGGTACTCCAGCTACCAAGGCTCCCGGAACGGCTATCCTGGCAGCAGCGGCGGAGGAGGAGTTAATGCCAGAGTCCTCCTGGAGGCTCAGGAGCTGTTGAGGCAGGAGCAGAGGCGCAGGGAGCAGGAAGCCAAAGGAAAAAGGATGCAGGAGAGCAGTGGGAACAGCGGGTATGAGGGGTACATCCCCCGCCTGAAGGAGCCGGGGTCCCCAAAGGGCCCGTACCGACACGACGTCCCGCCTTCACCATCACAGTTGGCTCGGCTGAACAGGCTGGGGTCAGAAAAGGGACGACTGTTTTATTCCTGAGGAAATTAGCAGGCTGAAGACTGAGGTTTCAAATCTGAACACAGACTCTTTAGAGGTCTTATAGCTTAGCGACGATCTTAACGGTATGTGGGTGTTTGATGACCTGTACCAATTATCAGTCACCCTCCTACAACCTCGAGACGCCCGGTGCCTTCTCCACCCTCGTCCAGGACTCTGACTCAGAGACCCGGTGCTGTGACGGACCGACAATCAGGCGAAGGAGTGGGTTCTTCTCTGAACCCACGGTGAGGCGGAGGTTTACAAGTGACGTTCCAGTGACTCGACCCACCTGGCATCTTTTCGGTGTAGCACGGCCTTTTCAGAGAGCCGACGCCGTTTCTCCCTCTGAAGGAGAGAAAATGAGGCAACATGGAAAGAAAAAGCAGGCCACAGAGTGTGTGTGTGTTATTAATAAAAACCCTCCTCATAAATGATTCATATCGTGTGTTATCTCCTTGGAGGAGAGTCAGGCAGAGAGGGTAGGCCTCTGTGATCCTCTGCCTGGCCCCTCTGCACGGCGCTGGGCTCCCCTCACCCGCCTCCCTGCCTGTCTGTCTGGAGCTCCATCTTCTCCTTTCATTCTTTCTCTCTCTGTTCATTACGCTCCTTTTCTTCTACCTCAACACCTCCATATTCCTCCCCCTCCCCTCTCGCTCACATCCACCACCTCCCTCCCTCCGCCTCTCTGTCGTCTCCCGAGTCGGGGCTCTGCACTGAATTTTTCATCAGAAGCCACCTGCTGCCTACCAGAGCCAAAGAACGCTGCTACTGGAGGCTCCGACGGAGGGCCGGGCTCCTGACATGACGAGCCGAATAAAAGCAGGAATAGAGGAGGCAAGATAAAGATCGGCGGGGAGACAATGTGTCTCTCTGTGTGAAATTAGCAGCAGCTCTTTATGCTGTTTTTATAACAAAAGGCAAAATTGTCCTCTGGAGTTAATTGCTTCAAACTGCCATAATTGCTTTTTATGGGGTTTTTCTACCTTTTTTAGCATTTAGCAGAGACTCTGCAGTGCAGCTTTTTGAAATCGAGGCAGCAGGTGGGGGGTGGTTTTTAAAAAAAACAGCAGTCGATAAATGAAGCCATTGCTGCTGGATTACAATAAGCAAGCTGAGAAACAGTGGGGGGGGGAGAAAAAAGTTTTTTTGTTTTTTTTTCATGCAGATGTTTTTGTGACATCAAGTTGGGAGTTTGCTTCCTTACCAGCAACAATGGAGGTTAATGTGGTCATGTTTGTAGCGAACACAGCACTGAAAAGAAAGGAACAAGTATGTTACAGATCATTCTTTCATTTGACAAAGCTGAAGCTTAAATAAAAAATGCAGTTTTTATTTTATCTGGGAAGAAAAGCTGCTCAAACCGTGCAAAAAGAGAGAAATAAATTTTTTTTGTTGTATTGTGGTATATCCTTAGAAGAAAAATATTCTAACCATTTTTCCATTTATCTTTTCAATTCATAAATTAATGATATGCCAAATTTTTCAAATAAAAATTGTCCCTCCCTCTCCTGAGAAGAACTCATCTGACAACACGAAGTAGACTAAATATCAATGCAATAATACAAAACCTCCTCTTACGGTATTTAAAAAAAAAAAAAAAAAAAAACTCCAGTAGCTCACAGTGAGAGACGTTATCCATAAATGGTTTCACCTCTTTCGGCTCCAAAAACCAAACCGAAAGTTCTGGAGTTATCTAGTCTGAGACTGGACTCATTTTCAATTAAAATTCATTAGGATGATCTTAAACTGGTCGTTAATGCTCGTAATCCTTCAAATGTGTTTGAATTAAAACTATTCTGCAAAGTAGAGTGGGACAAAATTCCTCCACAGTGACGTAAAATAAGCTGCAACACCGAGGGAGAAAAACTGGGTCATTAGGTTGAGAAAAAAAAAAAGTCTTCAAAGTCAAATCAAGTCCTGCAAAGACGTTTTATTTATGGCCACGCAAATTCAAATCTGAGAAAAATAAACAAACACATAAAAAAAATGCAGAAAAAAGCTGGGGTTTGATGCGCCATATTAAGTCCTGCTGGAGTTTGATATAACTTGGTCAAAATGTTTTCAAAAAGTTATTTTATTTATAATAAAATGCTTTAATAAGAGAGGCTTTTTTCTCATTTGTATAGTTTTTTGGATTTTGTAATAAATAAAAATTCCTGCATGAATCATTTTATAACTTTCCCATCTTTAGTGTGTTTATCTGAAAAAAGTAAAGCCACCTATTTGAGGAAAATATATGAAACAACCCGGTTGCATGAATGCGTTTACCTGTGGCTACTTTGTTAAAACACCTTCTGGACTCCTTTAAGTTTGAATCATAAACATAACTAAAACTAAAAGCTATCATCAGATTATATAAATCCTTTTTTAATGCCGCTCCTGAGGAATCTGCATGTTTTCATGCAATAAATCCTTATTTATAGACAATTTATAGATTGTCCTATAATAAATAGCTACAGAAGATGCATAAAATGTAGAGGAGGTTTTAAAACTGAACCTTTATCTTGATAAAATGCTGACAGGAATAATGCAGGAATTGCATTATTCCATTATTTTTTCTGGAGCAGAGTTAAACATGTTTTAGATCGCTCTCTCCTGCACCTGATTCAGAGTATCGCATGACTTCATTAGTCAACGAGTGCTGTGGTAAACCTGTAAACCTGCATGAAAACATGCAGATTCCTCAGGAGCAGGATAAAAAAAAAAAACGGTCTAGAGTGACAGATGAGGGTAGCATCATGATATGGGCCTTCTTTTTTTTTAGGAGTAGGTAAGGTTTTGTGTAGATGAATGATATTATAAATACCTCTTAATATTCACAAAAACGTCAGATACCTGCTAAAAAGTTGGAGCTTTGTTAGCATCATTGCAAGTCCAGCCACACATCCAACTCAACTAAAAACTGAACTCTTAGGGAACATGAATGTTTTAGAGCAAAGAGCAAGATCTGAAGACTTCCTGTACAATGAGAGATTTTGATTTTTATAGTAGTTGAATAGAGCTTAGTTAAAACGTCTGATGCTGACAGACCAAAAATCAAAAATAAAGAAAGCTTAAACTAAACCAGAAGGGGCTTTAGTAGCGACTAAGCACACTCCTGCATCCAGGTTGTTGCAGCTTTTTATTTCTAAACTCATAGTATTGTCATCTAAATTCTAGACTTAGTTTCAAACCTGGAGTTTTTTTTTATTTTACGGCACTAGTGGTTTGTGTTTATGGACAGTAGGCTGACAGGAAAAGGGGGTATGAGAGAGGGGGAGAGGCAAAGGACCACAGACTGGAGTCAAACCCGGATCGCCCACTTCGAGGACTAAGGCCTCCGTACATGAGTCGTGCACACTAACCACTGCGCCCAGAAATAAACAAAGCTGAACAAAACTGGAGAGGAGAAGCTGGTGTCTATGAAGCACATTTAGATGATTTAATGTTTCTGATAAGGATTGGTCTGAGGCTGGATGGTCTGGCTTCATATAGTGCTGTGAGGACCACATGTTGCATAGAATCCTGTTTGTTAGCATTGGTACAACCTTGAATGAATGTAATAAAAAGCCTAGTTCTGGTGGGAATTTTATTATTATTCCAGTAATCCTGGACTGTACTGATTGGCATGTTTTGTGCTCCAGGACAAAAGGAATAATTTGATTTCCGATATTGATGTTACATACTGTTAAACTGTCTATAATAAGCCGTTAGACCGTCCAACTGTTAGGTTGGTGACATTTTATCCTCCAAAGAGCAATGCAGACGACCCAGATGGAGGTCCAAGTGCAGGACAAATAAACCCATCTGAGGTAAGCTGCACAAACTGTTTTCTGAAAAGATGAGTGCGTGAAAAATTCAGATTGTTTTCTACTACAGTTAACTCTCTGGACTGAAATGAGTGTTTAGTTTCACCTGAGGAGAGTTTTCAAAGAAAGAGATTGTCTTCTGTGAGGTTTCATTTTAACCCCACATTTAAACCAAGACACCAGTAACTGTGAGCATAAGAAACGGGAAGTATTACCGGATCTCTGATGTCTAAAAGTGCCTGAAGAATATCTGAACATTTCACACCAAGAGGGACACGACGAGTCCTTTCTAAAAAACCAGTTCTGGTTTAACACCTATTCTTGGGCATCGCCAACAATGTGTGTTTCTATCCTGTTTATCATCAGCCATGTTGTTTGTGTTAAAGAAGCAAAACTGAAATGGACAATAATAGAAGCTTATGTGCAATTGTTTTGTTTCCTGAAATCTTTTACATGATATTTGGAGAAATGTAAACACTTTTTTCTGTTCGTATGAAGTTAAGAATAAAGCAGAAAGTGGTTCCTGTTTGCAGCACCGCCTCTGTTCTGTTTGTTTTATTCATTTCCTCATTGAACTGAGCCTGGATCAGTTGAGTCCACAGAAGGAGGATCATCCAGTCACACCTCAAGGATGTCTGACTGATGTGATGAAATCATTGTTTCCTGATGTTGGACCAGAGGATGTTTCACACGTTTAGCTGCTTTGTAAAAAAAACGAGCGTTTCCCTTTAAAATGTGTCTCTTTCCGTAAATACCGTCATGCTTCCTGTTATTAAGTTGGACCTCATTGTTCACAGGGGACCCGTTGAGCTGCTACTGTTTTTGTTTTGAGGGTTAAAGGTCAAACACAATTAAGGCTCCTCCAGTCGGCCTCCCGGGTGTTTTGGGAATAATGAAGAAAAGCAGGAATATTACTCGCACATGAAGAATTTACTTCTTTTACACAGAAATGTTGCAGATAAAATAATAAAAAAAAAAACATAACCTGATTAAATACAGAAAGCTGCATTTTAATGTTCATTTAGATTGTTTTCCACCATGTAGGAAGCTGTCTAACTGATGAACTCCTTCAATAACCGACCGCTACATCCTAGGTGCACAAAGAAGCGTTATCATAGATGCCTCCTCTCACCTGCTGTTAGACGTTAAAACCATCATTGTTCCTCATTCTGTTTACATTACTGCTGTTATTCAATGTTTTTTTTTTTTTTTGTAGTTTTTAATCATTAATATATGCGCATGTTAAGTTTTCTAGTTTTCTGCCTAAAAAGAACTTTTCAAGCCTGACCATGACCTGGATGACTGAGAATCTTCACAGATATACATGCATGTTGTTACTGCTGTGGCTCAGGAGCAGCAACTAAAAGAACAGCAGATGACTCAGCAATCAATAACATTTCATTTTTCTGTCCTTACAATGAAAATGCATGAAAAGGACAGGAGCTCGGTATATAGAAGCAGCTCTGCAGCAGGAACCAAACCTGCATCTGGATCAAAGCTCTCTGGAGCACAAACTGATTCGACTTGAACTGAGACTCACAGAATAAAAGAACTTTCCAAAATGAGTCTTTCATATTTTTCTTGCATTCTTTAAACTAATAATCAACAGAACAATCATTGTATTTGTTTAAATATCCACCATTAAATGTAGAAACTCAAACATTAATATTTTCTCCTTCCTTTGCAAACAGCATCATCACGGTCTGTTACCAAAATGAACTGATACAGTATTCCAGTTTTCCTGTGGAGGTGCATTTGGAGGAATAACCTCTATTCTTAGTAACAAACCTAAAAAAAGTTATCCTTTGCTTAAAGACTGCATCTGCTTTAGTTTTCTATAAAAATAAAAAAAAAACTTCTACAAAAGAAGCACAACATATGAGGAAGGCAAAATGTGCTGATAGAAATCATAACTGCATTAACATAAAACATCAACCCAAAGTTTAAAACGATAATCTTCTCATTCTGCAAATATCTTATTAATTCACACACCATATAAAAATGCTTTATACATATATTTAAGGAGAACTTCAGGGCAATGCAGCATTTACAGTTAAAGTAACCATGTTGATGTATTTGTTAAGTTTATCAAAATTATTCTCAGTATAATATTAAAAGTTTTCTTTATATTAAAACATTTTTTATAAAGTTTAAATTAAGAGATTTTATAGACTCAACAGCTCATTTGTTTTTTTTTAGCCTTTAGCATTTTTCATTAGAGACAACTTTAATTAAATTAGATTTAAATTCATCAGCAGC